TTCTTTTGGTGTGACCCATAATTTAAAATAGGTTTAGATTCATAATTTTAGTAGGACCCACATCTATTTAAAAATTTTGACCAGCTTAATTTTGATTAATCAAGAAAATTTATTTATCTTGATTAATCAGACGGTGATCAAGACACGTGAAAATTTAAGTGTCTACAAATTGCCCCCACTTCAAAACTCTGGTTTGATACTTGTTTGCTAATATCAAAGGTGATGTTTGAAGTAGATTGGTCATTTTTATGAGGTGAGGATTTTAATTTGGCCACTTTTCTTCTTCTTCTTCTTCTTCTTCTTCTTCTTTCTCTCTCTCTCTCTCTCTCTGTCTCTCTCTCTCTCTTTTTCTAGTGAGCATTGAACATCTCTTTTCTCTTCATACGAAAATAATAATAACAATCGTACTAGGGTTTGTGTGCAGCCTATAGGTATCACTGCTCCATATTTAATTAATTGAAGATAAGTTCCTTTAGACCTTGCACTGTTGTGTTGCTGCTCACTATCCTTCAATTCAAGTCACGTTGATAAGCGTGGAGACTGACTGTCACCTTGAACCTCTCAAGGTAAGACTTTTGTATGTATACATATATAATATTCATTATAATATTGTGAGCATGAACAGCACAAACTTATGTACCATACCTCTGCCATATGTATCACATGCATTGAACAATCTTTGACTTCTTTAGTAGTTGGCTACTTGTTTGCTCAACATGTGCATCACCATCCTTACCATACCTATGCCTTGTTTTCACCAGTGTACTGGATCATTTTTTTCATTTTTTTTTTTACACAATACCTATGACTTGATGGCCTACATATATATGTAATCCAATTATTTAAGGCTTGCATTTTTTTTTATTTTTTTATTTTTTTGGTAGCCTCCTTTGGAAATTGTATTTTATTATTGTCTATAACAATAATTGAGTAATATATCCCACTACCCTTTCACCATAATTGGTTATTTTGACTTATGTGGAGGGAGAGGAATACGCCTATCGAGCTAGCCACCTGGATATTGGGCTAGTGAAGTAGACATTTCCACTACCACCCATTCAACCATAGGTGATTAGTTTGACTTATGTGGGGAATGCGCCTATCGAGCTAGTCGCCTTGATATTGGGCTAGCGAAGTAGACACTTCCATAACCACCCATTCGGCTATAGGTGATTAGTTTGACTTATGTGGGGGAATGCGTCTATCGAGCTAGCCACTTGGATTTGGATATTAGGCTAGTGAAGTAGACACTTCCACCACCACCCATTCAACCATGGGTGATTAGTTTGACTTATATGGGGGAATACGCCTATCGAGCTAGTCGCCTTGATGTTGGGCTAGCGAAGTAGACACTTCCACCACTACCCATTTGACCATAGGTGATTAGTTTGACTTATGTGGAGGAATGCGCCTATCGAGCTAGCCACCTTAATGTTGGGCTAGTGAAGTAGATACTTCTACCACCACCTATTCGACCATAGGTGATTAGTTTTACTTATGTAGGGGAATGCACCTATTGATCTAGTCGCCTTGATGTTGGGCTAGCGAAGTAGGCACTTCCACCACCTCTCATTTGGCCATAGGTGATTAGTTTGACTTATGTGGGGGAATGCAGCAATTAAGCTAGTCACCTCGATGTTGGGCTAGCAAAGTAGACACTTCCACCTCCACCCATTTGGCCATAGGTGATTAGTTTGACTTATGTGGGAAATGGGCCTATCGAGCTAGTCACCTTAATGTTGGGCTAGCGAAGTAGACACTTCCACCACCACCCATTCGGCCATAGGTGATTAGTTTGACTTATGCCATGATCATATATATGTCTCTCCATAACACATGCATTTTTTTTTTTTTTTTTATAATTGTTTGGCTTTGTCACTCAGTAATGGTGTGCTTCAAGACTTTCAAAAAGGGATACTTAACTATTCTCGAGGACTGTAGTGACGCTATTGAGGAAGGGACTACTCTTCCAATTTGTCCTCTTTTCCTTGGTGCTTGGAGCTTGAAGTTCGAGCCGCTTGATAGTTCTTTTCATTTGGCGCAATGGGCGCATGAGACTTCATGTCAATTGGTTAAAGGCCTGTCACACTCTAGGGTTTTATTATTAAAGTCATCAAACCATGAAGACATTGAGGATCTTAGTTCATTTCCTACCCTTAGGAGTGCGGTTCGGGATCCAAAGGTGGCATGGGGCCCTATTTTCAAGGCCATATCAGAGCCTTCTTTTTGTGAAGGATATTGGAAGTGGTTGGAGGATGTGCTAGGGCAACATCATGAGATACTACATTAGGCGGGTATTTATGATGCAATTTATGCTTCATTGTTCTCGTATGACCGACTACACAGTGTTATGCGAGCCTTTTGTGAGCTTTGGTGTCCATCCATTAATATCCTTCACACTTTCATAGGCAAAATGTCTATCTCGCTATGGGATTTACATAAGCTTGGTGGTCTTCCTATTAGGGGTGCACTATACGATGAAGTGGTGCTAAATGCCCAAGAGTTGGCCGGCAATATGAGGGACAAGAATTTCTTTCTTCTTGTCAGTTGCGAATATTTATTCCTTGTTTACCATCGGCTTTGTAAGGAGTAGAAGAAGAATGTGGTGAGGATTACTAGCTGGATAAAATTTTGGTTTAAAAGGGAAGTCAAGTACCATAAATCAACCAAGCGGGCTTCAAGGAATAAGACTCAATGCCCTAAGGATACTAGTAACCCTTCTTGTATTATTAACACAACTCGGTCTTGAACTGTGCAAGGGGACAAAGTCTTTAGTGACTTGGGGATTGTTGGTGCAGCAAAGGGTGAGACTTATTTGTCAGCTTTCCTTGTCAGTTGGTTGTGCAAATTTATTCTACCCTGTGGGGATGGCGACTTGATTAGACCTAGGGTGTTTAAGGTTGCTAGCATGATGGTTCATGGTCATTCATTCAGTCTTGCTATTCCTGTACTTGCTAGCATCTACAAAGGGCTGAATAGAATTGTTTCTTCTTCTGATCCTGAAAAGTGCGATGCCATCTTCCCGATCCATTATGTTTATGCTTGGTTAGCAGAGTATTTCAACACACACTTTAGTATTGAATCTTCTCTGAAACCTCGAATGACGAGATATGCTGGTGAAAGGATGGCTAAACATTTTGAGGAGTCAAAGGCTTATGACTTATTTCGATCATGCAAAGATATGACCTTGCACCATTTGGCATATAGCGAGGGCAATCCCAAGGAATTAGTTGATGACGGTTATCTTTCTAACTTAGACTTAGAGTATTTCATCAGCGTCCGCTCGAGCTATTTGACTTTGCAAAATTCGTCTGCTATGGTCATTGAGCCATACAGTCCTCACAGGTTTAGCAGGCTATTTGGTTTTATTTAAGCCATCCCGGGTAAACTTAAGATTGATCTTCGGGATGGTAGTTTACAGAACATTATTTAGCATTGGGATTCTTGTGTTCGTGATGGTACCCATTCTATATTGAGGTTACCAGCGCATTTTGATTTCCCATCTTGTTCCACTACTAAGGCTTATTTGGAGTGGTGGTCCTAGCTTTATGCAGGTTATTTCTCTAACAAAGAAAATTCTATCCCAAGGAGTAAATGCTCGGCTCACCAAATCAAGAGATGGTTAAAGCGAAGAAAAATACAATTGCTAAGCAAAATTCTAATCCCAAGACCAACCAAATGGTTCAAAGAAGTATTGATAGGACTCGTGCTGGAGTTGCAAACGAGGACTATAGTCATGGTGATCGTAATTGGCGTCACTTAGGAAGAAAATCTGGTACTCGTACCATTGGAAGGAACACCACTACTTTTAATGACGTGAAGTCATTTTTGATCGGGGCGTTCCTAGCACTTTTCAACCATTGGCTATCGATGTTGTATCGGTAATGACAAAATCTATTATTTATCATTTCAATTTTTTTTTTTACTACTCTTTAATTTGTTTTGACAGTTGCCAGATGATGACTTTGATTTGGCATCTGGCAATGAGGATATGAGACTTCTTAATGAGTTCTTAGATAATGAAGCATGGACCATCAGCCTTTGATTTAGTGATTGGTTGTAAGAGTTGTCTCTCAGTGGACCCAACTCCAATTGTCCAAACTTCTTCCTTACCTATTGCTCCTACACTGAGTCAAGTTGCACCTTCTGTGGCTTCTACCATTGATTCAAGAAACATGATCCTTAATACTCGCCGCTCAACAGCTTCAATACTTGATAACCATATTAAAGGCTTATTGAGCACAACTCCTATTCAAAAAGTTCCAGCATTGGGCTGAAAGCTCCAAGAGCTTTATGATGAGCTCTCAAAGCTTCAGATAGACTATTCTCCGTTGCAAAGCCAGATTGAGAAGTACGTACAAAATGCTACAACGTACATCTCTATGAAATCAGCGTTTGCTCAAGGGATGACTTCAGAGCTACAGGATCAGCATTTGGCAGATGTCAGTCAACGTGTTACTCATGCTCTAGCTCTTAAGAATGAAGCAATTGAACAGGTTCACTTGCTGAAGTCTGATTTGGGTAGCTTGCAGCAAAGAAGGCAGAATTATTAAAGGCGTTGGAACTATATCATGGTTTCCATGATTTATTATTTATTATTATTTTATTTCATTTTTTTATTTTAATGAAATGTAGCTCGATACCAAATACTTCATTATAAAATAATTGCTTTAACAAACACTTTATTTATGAAAAAAATATTATAGTTTGAAGCGAAATACTCTTATTGTAAAACACATTTAGTTTATTGATTTATTTAGCCGTTCACAGTTTATACTCATGCAGACCAGGAGTAGCACAATTTTTTTTTTTTAACAACTTTATTTCATATGGGCCAAAAACATCATGCAGTTTATGCTCATGTGATTATGAGTGTTACATTCTCATGGATAGTAGCGCTTTAGGAACTTGCCATTGATTGGGCCAACTCTAATACCTTCTTCATCAACAATCTTGTGTGCTCTGTTAGTGTAGACTTTAGTCACCACGTATGGACCATCTCACTTGGACAAGAACTTGTTGCTGGTTCGGTGGGTGGTGATGATAGGTCTTCGAACAACCAATACCAATTCTCCAACTTGAAAAGACCGGGGTCTAACCTTCTTATTGAAAGCTCTAGAGAGTCGAGCTTGGAAACACTCAAGTTTTTGTTGTGCTTCAAATCTCTTTTCATCCAATGCTTCTAACACAGCAAGGCGTAGTTTTGCATTCTTATCATCAATGAGACCTTTCTGTATAGCTATCCTTAATGAAGGAATCTATTGTTCCAAAGAAAGAACTGCTTCAACACCATACACAAGGGAGTATGGGGTGGCTTGTGTTGGGGTGCGATGTGTTGTACGGTTTGCCCAAAGTGCTTCTCCAATTCTTTCATGCCAATCCCGCTTTGATTTAGCAACTACCTTTTTCAATAGGTTGCCTAAAGTTTTGTTAAATGCCTCTGCCAGTCCGTTGGCAAGTGTATTGTACATTGAGGAATTGCGTTGCTTAAATCCAAATCTTTCACAAAATTTCTCTATTAGACTGTTGTAGAAAGGCTTTCCATTATCAGTGATGATGTAGTGAGGTCCACCATACCAATAAATAATGTAGGATTTGATGAAGTCAACAACAGTTTCTTTCTTGACTTCTTTAAGTGGGACGACTTCAGTCCATTTGGAGAAGTAATCTGTGGCAGCCAAGATATATAAGTGGCCTGCAGAAGACTTGGTCAATGGGCTAACTACATCTAGACCCCATGCATCAAATGGCTAAGAAGCAATTGTCGGGTGTAAAGGTTCTGGTGGTTAATGGATAAAGTTTGCGTGAAACTGGCAAGGTTGACACTTTCTTAAGTGGTCCAAGCAATCTTTAACCATCGTAGGCCAATAGTAACCCATCCTTTTTACTCGAAAGTGAAGTTTAGGACCAGACTGATGCGTTCTACATATCCCGGAATGGGCTTCTTCAATGGCTTGTTGAGCTTCTTCATCCCCTAGGCAACGAAGAAAAATTTCTTCAAATGATCATCAGAATAAAGTTTCATTGTAGTAGATGAACCGAGGAGCTGGGCGTTCAGTTCTGTGGCGAGAATCATCAGGGAGCGTCCTGTGTTCAAGGTAGTCTATAATTGGCATTCTCCAATCGTTGACTTCAATGGCTGGTACTGAAATTGCGTTTGTTTCTACAAGGCGACATTCCAACAATTGTGGCAATACCCATTGTTGCCATATAGGGACACTAACTTGTTCACCTTCTAACAATGCCAGTGTAGTTGCTAGATTGGCAAGTTCATCAGCCATGCGAATTTCTTTCCTTGGAACATGTTCAAGTACCACTCTCTCAAATTTTTCAATGAGATGAGTTGCATACTGGAAATATGGGACTAAGTTGTCTTTCTTGACTTTATAATCCCCCTAGAGTTGAATAATTATTAACTTAGAATCCCCATAGACATCTAGGTCAACATTTTTTAGCTTTGCTGCCATTTGTAAACCAATGATCAAGGCCTGGTACTTAGCAACATTGTTTGAGCAATTTTCGCCAAGAATAAATTAGTAAGACAAAATGTGCTTCTGTGGTGAAACAAAAATGACACCTGCTCCTGCCCCTTTCTTCCTGGCCGCCCCATCAAAGAACATCATCCAAGGCTGTAAAGCTTCTATGAACAATACACATTCGTTAGGGAATTCCTTAGAAATTTCACAATTAGCAGGGATGGGATGGTTGGCCAAGAAGTCTACAAGGGCCTGCCCTTTCACTACTTTTCTTGGCACGTAAATTTTCTCAAATTCATTAAAGAGGAGAGACCATCTTGCTAAGCATCCTAAGAGGATGGGCTTAAACATAACATATTTTATTGGGTCCACTCTTGTAATGAGATGCACTGTATGGGCTTGGAAATAATGTCTCACTTTTTGAGAGGCAAAAACAAGCACCAAACACATTTTCTCAATGGGTGAGTACTTGAGTTCATTTTTAGTTAATCTGCAACTCAAGTAATAGAGTGCTTGCTCTTTATTTTTTTTGTTATTTTGGGCCAGCATCGTTCCAAGAGACTCTTTTTGAGCCGCAATGTAAAGTATCAATGGTTTCCTTTGAATAGGAGCTCCTAATACTGGTGGATAAAGCAGGTATCTCTTAATACTATCGAAAGCATTTTGACATGCCTGATCCCAAACAAATGGAGCCTCCTTTTTCATTAGTCGACTGAAAGGTTGACAACAGCCTGCCAAGTTTGCAATGAATCTGCAGATATATGCCAAGTGACCTTGGAGGTTTCTAAGTTCCTTCAGGTTTTTTGGTGGTGGCATCTTTTTGGACTGATCAGCCTCAATGCCTCTATGTCGAACAATAAAGCCAAGAATTTTCCAGACGTGACTCCAAATACGCATTTGAGTGGATTCATCTTCAAGCGATTGTGGGTTCAGGTCCCACTGGACGTGCCAAAATTTGTAAACACAAATTTCGTATCCTGCAAAAATAAATGCACAAATAATTAATTTTATTGATTATAATAAATGGGTGCAATTCTTTGTAGTTTGCTCTATTACAAAAGAATATATCCTCTTATTCGATCTCTGAAATGGGTTGTAATCCAGCGGCTGTAGAAGCTTGTTGTTGAATCGAACAAGTTGATGGATTTCTTAAAGTCTTACTTTCTCAGCCGGTTGAAGACTGCACGAAGGTCCTCTAGGTGATTTTTCCTTTTCTTAGTTTTGACCACCAAATCATCAACATAGCACTCAATAAATTTATGGAGCATGTCATCGAAGATCTTTTGCATGGCACGTTGATAAGTGGCACCGGCATTCTTAGGTTCGAAAGGCATCACTTTATAACAATAGATGCGTTTTCTGGTATGAAATGCAGTTAACTCTTCATCCTCAAGTGTCATCCGTATTTGGTTGTATCCTGAACACCCATCCATGAAAGACAACACCTCGTGTCCGGTAGTGGCGTTTATCAATCATTCCATAATAGGAAGTGGAAAGTCATCCTTGGGACATACTTCATTCAAATTTTGAAAGTTGACACATATTCTAATCTGTCCATTCTTCTTAACTACCGAGACCATACTTAATATCCATGCTGGATATTTTACTTCACATATGAACCCATCCTCGATCAACTTGTTGACTTCTTCTTCCACTTGAAGGATGCGCTCAGGTCTGATGTATCGATGAGCCTGCTTTACTGGTTCCATACCATGTTTGATCCCAAGGTAATGGACAACAACCTTTGGACTTAAACCTGGTATCTCCTTTTAAGTCCATGCGAAGACATCTTCATATTCGAAAAGCAGTTTGAAAAATGTCTTTTTTTCCTCAGGCGTTAAGAGTGTTCCCACAAAGATTGGTCAACGGTCATTAGGAGTTCCCAAGTTGAGTTCTTTCAAATTGTCAATAGTTGATTGCCTCTCATTTTCAAGTTCTGAAGGAGCTTCTTGGAGATCATCATCCTCCGAATCTGAGCTAGAATCCTCTTCAACTGTTACATGGTGAGAAGCAACATGTTCAATTTCTTCTCCTCTTTTACTTTTTGCTTGAGTCTTAACTTCTCCAGTTAGTATGATAGTGTGCCTTTTGACCTTAAACAAACCTTCAATACTAACTTCAAGTGACGTCATGCGTTTCATGCGAGAAGGAATCAAACTTCGAGTCTCATCATCCTTCTTTGTAGAATTCAACTCAATTATTGTTGTGCTTCTCTTATTCTTGCCTTGTCTAGGTGATGTATTCATATAACCAAGTCGAGCAAAAATGGACTTTTGTGACCAGGAAGTTTGTTTTTCATCCCCTTCTTTAGTAATGCCTAATCTGTTAAAAACTGAAGGTTGAGAAGTTGTACCTTTATCTATCATATCAACAGTGCTCATCCTATTAAAAGTTGAGGGTCGAAGTGCAGGAGCTTCAATGCGGTCAAACACTGAGGCTCGAGGAGTTGGGCTTGCACTTTTATTTTCCTTCACTTCTTCCATAGTGATATGTTGTACATCTTCCTTCTTCCCTTTTCTCTTGGCAGAGATATGAATGGGTTTAGTTCGCATGAATTTGACTCCGATCTTTGGAGAGCTCACCCTGTACCCTTGTTACCTTAACTTTCTATGAGTTTCATTGAGACCATAAACTTTCTCACCTGTAAGTTCAGGACTTAACTCTCCCAGTGATAAGGGATCAACAAAGTCATAACCTGACTTGCCTAGAAGCTTGTAAGCTTGTGGATCAAACCCTTCCATTCGCCTTTTAGGTAAGGATCCGTGTTCGATAGAATTTTGCGCAGGCCTAACAAATCCCTTTAGTGGAGGTTTGAATAAGCTTAACAATCCCACCTGTGGAATTGATATTGTTGTATCTACTCGTAGTATCTGCAAATCTTCTTTTATTGCGGGGTGAGCAAAGTCTCCTTTAACTTTTGCGGACGTCATGACTTCTTCAAACGGTGACTACCCTTCTTTCTGTTGAGACTTTGGCACATACCTGAAGACTTGTGTCATTGAATGGCCTTTTGAGGATGAAGGCTGTTTTTGTGGTGACGCGACCTCAGGTGCTCTTTTGCTGCTTGATACGTCTTCCCTTGAGAAGTGCAACACAACTTGCTTTTTTTTTATTCATTTTCTCTTTTTTTGCAAAAGGGATTTCATCTAGAATAACTTTAGGTATCCCATTAGAATCCAAATAAAATTTTGCATCAGTGAAGTGAGACTCAGTTTCTGTAAATAGCTTGTCATCTACTAACACCATTTTTATTCCACCTTGGTCAAATTTAAAACATTGATGGAGAGTTGACGCAACTACAACTACACCATTTCCATGGACCCAAGGTCACCCAAGCAACAAATTATAGGACGTTCTTGCATCGATGACATGAAACAAAGTATTGGCTGTGAGTTCTCCAATTGCGAGGTTCAAACGAATCATACCAATCGCGCATTGCCCCCCTTGGTTGAAACCTTGAATAACCAGACGACTTCGAGGTAACTCGTCAATTGGGATTCCAAGTTTCTTCATGGTGAACTTTGGCATGATGTTTATCGCTGAGCCTCCATCAACAAGGATGCTGTTAACTTTTTGTTCATTAATAAAGCCAGAGACAAACAATGGGCGATTGTATGGATTTGAACCTAGTTGAAGGTCTTCATCAGTGAAGGTGATTGTTGTGCAACAAGGAACAAAAGTGATGGAATTCACCTTCGAATAGTCTAGCTCATTAACAACAAACTTATATTTCCCAGGATCTTTTAACACTCGAACAAGTGCAAGTTATACAGATCAAGGGAGATAAGACGCTTCACGCAAACTGAAGCGTGGAGGTAGTTCTTTTGAGGTTGTCAGGACATCAATTTCCTCCTTATTTGGTGTTGCCTTAATGGCGTGAACTTGTTCCATATCTGCTTCAATGGTTGAAACCATATAGACCGCCTCGATCAAGTCATCTCCAAAATACCCAATAGGGAAGAAATCTTACAGAATGATTGGGGCACACGAGTTTTCTTCAGGAATTTATCTTCTTGTTGCATCTTCTTTTCATTATTCCTTTTGTCTATCACCTCCTTCTTGGAATGTCGATGGGAGTTCTTCTTTTTTTTTACTTTCTTGAGTGGAAAATGTTAAGCCTTGGACTTGCTTCTTCGTGCCTTCCTTCGTGTCACGAGAGTCCAACTTTCATCTTCTCCAATAGTTAAGACTTCTTCAAAGCCATCATGGATATGCATGTCTTGATTTGGAACTTGAATAATGATAGGTTCAAGTGAACCAAACTGGATGACTTTGGGAATTGCTTTCACTGTTGGGATTGCAAATTGTGACATTTCTGTCTTAGATTTTGAGGATGGAGCATTTGGAGGTCCTACAATAACCGTCGCATGGTTGGATTCTGTTGATTCGTCAAGGTCCAAGAG